GAGCCCTCAGCCTGCTGGGCCTGCCCACTCCCACGCCCTTCACCAATGCCGTCCAGCTGCTACTGACGCTGAAGGTCAGACTCGGGACTTGCCACTCCCCTCCAGCCTCCCTGTGGGCCCCTTCACCTCCCCACTTTACCTCCCCCTCCAGCCGCTCCCGGATTTTACCTCCTGCACACCCTGGGGGTGGGCCGCCACCACACTGCTGCCCTGGGCATGGGGTTCCCCATTCACATGCTCTTGACAGGTCTTCACCTCCCAGCTCCTCCTGGGGTGAGGAAATAACCCATGTGGGTTAACAGTAGGTGCCATTGGGTGCTTGCTGTGAGCCAGAGGCCCAGCTGGGTGGTTTACCAACATGCTGTCCTTGAATCTCTGTAGCTAGCTATTTTGCAAAGGAGAAAAACCAGCTCTGAGGAAAAGGTACTTGTTGAAGGGCACAAAACTAGGGCATCCAGGTCTGGCTCCTAGTCACCTGGGAAGATGGGTGAAAACAGACTCCCAGGGCCCACCCCAGACCCACAGAGTCACAGTTTCCTACTGGAGGCTTATCTGTGAACACAGCGGTCATGCTAGGTAGGGAGCGGCCTCCACAGCCTTCAGTGTGCCCCACGGGAGCTCAGCAGTGGCAGGAGTAGGTTGGATGAGAGAGGGGTTAGAGGAGGAGCATTTCAGGCCGTAGGGATGACGTGTGTGGAGGGGAGCAGGAGGGGTTCACCTGCTGCACCAGCCACATGCACTTTCTGGGAAGAGCAAAAGGGAATGGGCAGCAGGGCTGACACCATGCTAGGTCTGGCTGGCGACCGTGAGGACTTTGGACTTCTTCCCACGGAGGACGGAGATGTGCTGGAAGAGGGGATCTTTGGTTTGCTGCCAGAAGAGGCAATGTGACCAGTTTTAAATGTTTAAAAATACTTGTTCTGGCCGGGCGCGGTGGCTCACGCCTGTAATCCCAGCACTTTGGGAGGCTGAGGCAGGCGGATCACCTGAGGTCGGGAGTTTGAGACCAGCCTGATCAAAATGGAGAAACCCTGTCTCTACTGAAAATACAAAAAATTAGCTGGGTGTGGTGGTGCACGCCTGTAATCCCAGCTACTCGGGAAGCTGAGGCAGGAGAATTGCTTGAACCCAGGAGGCAGAGGTTGTGGTGAGCTGAGATGGCGCCACTACACTCCAGCCCGGGTGACAAGAGCGAAACTCCGTCTCAAAAATAAATAAATGGAAATACTCGTTCTAGGCCAGGTGCGGTGGCGCACACCTGTAATCCCAGCTACTTGGGAGGTAGAGGCAGGAGAATCGCTTGAACCTGGAAGGTAGAGGTTGCAGTGAGCCAAGATCCCCACCATCGCACTCCAGCCTGGGCCTCCCCGGGCAAGACTCCGTCTCAAAAAATAAAAATAAAAAAACACTCGTTCTGGATGCTGAAGGAGAATTGAAGTGGAACAGGGCAAGATGGAATGGACTTGGATAAAGGGATCCTCCTTTATCCTATATAAAGGGATCCAAATAAAAAGGATCCTTTTATCCAAGTCCAGGTGACAGACTGTGGTGCCTTGATACAGGCTGTTGGCTGTGGGTAGGTCTGAGCTGCAGCAGGAAATGCACATTTAGGATGATTGAAGGAGTGGCCACCGTGGGGGCAGGATGTAGAAGAGCAAAAAGGGGTGGTGCCGGCTGGGCGCGGTGGCTCACGCCTGTAATCCCAGCACTTTGGGAGGCCGAGGTGGGTGGATCACGAGGTCGGGAGATCGAGACCATCCTGGCTAACA